GCACTATGGCCCCAGTTTTGTTTAACCTATACATGTGTGCGGTCTTCGAGAGATGGCGTGGCGTGATTGCTGATGATGGTGAGCTGGGGATCCCACTCGTCCAGTTTCGGAGGGAGTGGCTTTTCAACACCAGATTGGAAGAGTATCGCAGAGTTCGGCTGACGGAGTGTCAGTTCGCGGATGATTCAGCCCTGCTCGCAGTTACGCATGCTGGTGCTGAGAGGGCTCTATCCTCGTTCAGGGATGTAGCTGGTGCGTTTGGCCTTAGTGTCAATATGTCCAAGACCAAATTCATGGCGGCTGGGGCTGGTATTGTGGATGCCGACCAGACCCCTTTGGATGGTGTTGTTGACCACGTTGAGGCCTTTCGCTATCTCGGTTGTCATGTTACGCCAGACGCGCGGAGCTCATTTGATGTGTCTCGGCGAGATGCTGCCGCATCGGGTGCGTTCTGTACACTGCGGGAGTCGGTTTTCGACAGTGATGACTTCAGCATCGCCATCAAGCGCATTGTGTATGAAGTGACTGTCCTGGCGGTCCTTCTTTATGGATCTGAGAGTTGGACCGTCAGGCAGCGTGATGTCCGTCGCCTGGAGTCCTTTCACCTGCAGTGCGTGCGTTCCATCCTGAAGATAAATCGTGGCCGGCAGATCGAGGAGCACATCTCCTCTCTCCAGGTTCGCAGGATGTAGGGCGATATGGAGGAGATCGCGGATAAAGTCAGAGTCTGCCAACTTCGATGGCTTGGCCACGTGTCCCGCATGCAGGATCGGATCCCTCGTCAGCTGCTGTACGGCGCGTTACCCTCCAAACGTCCACCGCATGGACCCCATAAGCGCTGGAAGGACTCCGCGAAGTGCGACTTGATGACTGTTGGTGTTCCTCTGGAGCAGCTTGGTGACATCGTCCAAGATCGACAGGGATGGCGGGTCACCTGCCGTGATGCTGTCGACGCTATTGTCCAGTCTTGCATGGAGCCTGTGGCGAAGCCCCTCATCTGCGGCACTTGTGCGCGCAGTTTTCGTCGGCCGCAGGATGTTGCGAGGCACAAGTGTAACGCTGTTCGCGTGGCCCGCACGCGCTGAGTATGGCGTTCCCCGCCCGGTCGACAACACGTCTCCTGGTCTGCCCCGTATGGGGCCACATAGCCAGTCATGGCAGTGGAAGAAGGAAGGAAGGAAGGTGTGTGTGTGTGTGTGTGTGTGTGTGTATGCCACTCGCACAGTTTTCTGCTGTTTTTCATCAGATATACTGAAGACGCCTCAGAAATGATGTTTCCTTTAAAATACAATAGACAAAGTTTTCCCCAAACCAGTTAGTTCTAGTACGTCAGTACCGTCATTCAGTGTCGCACATAGTTATCACATGAGCTGATTGTTAAGTAACTGGTCGTGGTAGTAGACATACTAGTATTAGCGTAACTTGTGGTTCCTTGGTCTTTTTCTTTCCTCTACATTTTCCCCTGACCTCTGTATTAAATTGAAAAGACAATCCATTAGAAGAAAGTTGCTTTCCCTAAGACCCATACAAGACAACATGAAACATAGATCGAGCGAGCTGGAAAGAAACTAATCCGGTGAAATCGTGCATGCGCTGTTCTTTTTTCTTTCTCCCCCAGGTATGAATTGCTCCATTCCAACAGATCCCTTTTGTCGAAGTAAGGACAATGTCTTGTTATGCCACCTTCTCTCTCTCTCTTTCTCTCTCTATCTCTCTCTATCTCTCTCTCTCTCTCTCTCTCTCTCTCTCTCTCTCCCCCCCCCCCCCCGGAAGGTCTCTCCCGCTTGAAATTTGCTTTCATAGAAATGGGCACCATTGCCCGTTTTGCCTTGCGAAGTAAAATAAAAAATCAACAACAACACGCACACACGCACGCATGTACACATGCACACACACACACACACACACACACACACACCTACACGCAAGTGTACACACACACACGTACAGACGTACACACACACACACACACATACACACATAATATCATATAAATGCACATACACACCACGTATGTACCATGTATATGCCCTTCGCAAGAGAAGCACGCAAATCTGCAAATGCACTGGATGTGCACCCACAGACTTTCTCTTATAGCAACGATAGCGAACAAGATCTGAATGAGACAGATCAAGACGTGCGCCAGATAACTGTATTATCCACGTAACTGGCGAAGCCATGTGAATCGACCACCAATGCACACCTCAGGCGCGTGCGCCGGTGCCCTTCAAGGGGGGGGGGGAGGTTCCGGGGGCCTCCATTCCTGCTTCCATTCCCGCTGTAAATGCGGATGAAGCAGAAATGGCTGCAATTGAAGACGTCGCTCTCCATCAGCAACACCTGGCGACCGGTTTTTGGGGGCTATTTCGAAATGAATCAGTAGCCAAATCAGCTCAGACAAGCCTGACAATGAGTGAGTGTTTTCACAGTATTGTCCTACGTTAAACTCACAAATCGAATCGTTCTCTTCACACCCTAAATTGTGTGAAGTTTTCTACTCGCACAATACTCAATAGTCTCCTCACTCGTACTCCAGTACATGGAGTTTGCTGCGTAACATGGCTAGCATTATCTCCGTGCATGTCGGTTCACTTGTGCTTTATCTCGCATAAGTGGACTGCACTTCAGTTCGAATTGTGGCGAACTACATTTTCACCTTTGCATTTCACTTTACGGAAGGCCGAGACGTTCTCTTGTATTTCACGCGGTTGTGTACCAACAGTTATGCTGTGCACTCTAGCAGCAGCAGCAGCACAGTAAAACATTGAGTGCGTTTTGCCCTGCTGTAGTGTGTTATGACGGCATTACAGGAACACCGGCCTCTGTCCTTTTTGATTATGTTTAATATGTGCACATATCCACCCCCACACATACACGCACGCACATGTGCCCACATTGGTGTGCGGGTAGTACAGTCAACCGCTAATAACGACTGCGGATATAACGACAATTCGCGAATAACGACAGAATTTCCATGCCCAGAGCAAAATCCCATCCAACTGTAACACATATAATGGGACTTTGGTGATAACGACACTTCGCGAATAAGGACACTTTTCTGATGCCCCGCCGAGTGTCGTTATACGCGAAGTTGACTGTATAGAAGCCATACACATGCTCGTGCATGCGCGCGCGCGCGCACACACACACACACACACACACACACACACACTTTCACCAGCGCATGTGCACACGAGTGCATAAGCATACTAGTACCGTAAAGCAGACATTTTCGGTGATGTAATATTTTCGGTATTCTCCAAAATCGGCGGTTCGGTGGAGGGACATTTTCGGTAAACCCCGGTTTCCAGGTAAGCGTACTAATACTACTTGCATACAGTACCGGAACTACCGAAATATTCGGTGCGTTTTATTTTCGGTAAAAATTATCCGCACCGAAGTTACCGAAAATAAAACACCACCGAAAATTTCTGATTTTACAGTACCTGTGCACATGCTCGAGCACGCAATAATACTATACTATAGCTGACAAGGTACCTTTTTTTTTGCTTCACATTATCATATTCATCAAATAGCAGGAGCCGTGGTTGGCTCTGGCCTTCCCGGCAAGAAGGCAGATATGCCTGTTCGATTGGTGAATACAAATACCATACCATACCATATATGTACTAGCAGTGTGCAACGCGGTCGCGGGTGGGTGGTCGTCTGTCGCGTTGAGCGAGTGGTCGCCTTATCCGAGCTGTTTTGAATGTGAATGCGTCCGTGACAAGGAAAGGTGGTCGCTGTGGTATCATCAAGTCTATGTGATGACTATTGAAATAGAATAATGCAACGAAGGACTGAGACAGTGAGAGAGGACGACTCGTCAGGAAACTACCAAGGAAAGACTGAACAGCAACAAGAGACATGCACTGTCGATTATGGGCACGGAGTACACACATGCATGCATAGTATGAGTAGTATGCTGTAAGGTTGTACGCACGTCCATGCAAGGAGATGCAGTAGCATAATAAGAAACATGAGAGTGCAAATATGTACGATGTACACGGGTACACCACACGCCCCTTCTGAGATAAACAAGCGAAAAATCGGAGCTGTTTATCTCACATAAATGAGAAGGAGAAAACAGAAGTGACAGAAAAGAAAGTAAACACTAATGAAGCGTGATACCAATACCAACTACTTGTAGCAAGAGTGCGAGGTACAGGTATGTAGAGTCAAGCATAGGACTTAGATGCTGTGGACGAAATGTTCAAACGCTCTGGTGCCTGGCGAGACCGTTGGCTACGACGAGGCTGCTGCACACAAGGTTGCTGCGGTGCTGCGGGCTCAGCCGGGGAGGTGTCTGCAGGCGGAGCGGGAGGGGCTACGGCAGGGGCAGGCTTGAGAAAGCGACGGTTGCGCCAGTAAACACGGCCGCTGGGTAACTTCACCATATAGTCCCGGTTGCGACCAATGGCGACGACCACGCCGGTGGTGCGCCAGAGTTTGGTGCGCGGATCTTGGATGTCAACCCGCATGCCAATGCGAAGTGGGGACAGTGATCTGGCAGACTCATCATAATGCTGTTCTTGGGTGGCAGACTGAGCGGCAGAGCGCTTGTCAACATCGGTGGCTTTTGCTTGCCAATCAGGAGCAAAGCTGAGATGATGAGCTGTCACGAAGGAGGACAATGGTCGACCAAACAGTGCTTGGGCTGGGCTCTGACCATTTTCTCGGGGGGTGTTGCGCCATTCTAACAATGCGCGTCTGAACTCATCGACGTCCAAGTTACCGTCGGACGTGGTCTTCAACACAAGTGATTTCATCGCTTTCACGGCGGCTTCGGCATGGCCATTAGATTGAGGATTTGTATTGTTGTATTGTATTTTATTATTTTACTTGGGCATTCCCAACAGACCCTAAGGTCTTCTTACAGGGTGCCCAAGATGAATGAAATTGTTAAGTTCCTGGCGAAATGAATTGGGGATATGAGGATAATGAGGTGAAGACGTGGAGTGCTGAACTTGCCATCGGGTGCAAAATTCAGCAAAGCGACGTGATGAAAATTGCGGACCACCATCAGTGGTGAGGATGCTGGGGACACCGACGTCGGCGAACCAGCCACGGAACACACGGATCACATCGGCAGAAGATGCAGTGCGGCCGATCTTGGCAATGCAAGGCCAGCCAGTGTGACGGTCGACGTAAACCAGGTATTCCCAACCTTGACAGGAAAATAAGTCGGCACTGGTTGACTGGAATGGCAGGGTGGGAAGGCGGTCAGCGGTGACACGCATCGGTTCCTTACACTGAGACGGAGCGTGCAAGCGACACTGTTCGCAACTGCGAACGACTTGGGCGATGTCATTAGACAAGTGTGGCCAGTATACGACTTGTCGAGCTCGACGCTGTGTGCGGTTGAGGCCTTGGTGGGAGGCATGAAGATCCTGGAGCACACGTGGGCGGAGGGTACGCGGGACCACAACACGTTGGCCTTTCAGGACAAGATCACCGTCGACTGAAAGATGCTCGCGGATAGTGAAGTACGGTTTCACAGCTGAGTGGACGGCGCGCTGATCATCAGGGAAACCTTCACGAACGGCTTGGAGAAGGGCCTGATAGTCATCATCGGCACGGGCAGCGTCCAAGAGCTCGCAGTGCCGGAGGTCTGCAATTCGGCCATCCTCGTCCTGGCGGAGACATGCTCTGATGGCTGGTGCTGAGAGCGTTGAGCTTTCACCGAATTCTTCCTCACTGGTCGGCTTGTCGACCGGGTTACGGGACAGTGCATCAGCAAACGCATTCTCTTTGCCCTTGCGCCAGTGCGCGACGAGTTGAAACGACCGGAGCTTCAGTGCGAGGCGTAGCAGACGTGGATTTTCTATCTGATCCAGGGTGTACTTGTTCAGAATCGGGACCAATGAACGGTGGTCAGTGAACAAATCGAATCGGCTGCCGGACAGAAAGAGGGAGCACTTGTGGACAGCCCAAACCACAGCAAGTAACTCCAGTTCTATGACGGCATAACGTGTCTCTGCGTCGGTGAGAAAGCGGCTGCCACACTGCAGCATGCGCCACTGGTTATCTTGGCGTTGCCATAACACGAACCCAAGTCCGTTCAGGGCAGAGGCGTCGGTCTCTAGCCGAAGGTCGTCACCAGGACGGTAGTACGAGAGAGTCGGCGGCGATATCAGTTCAGACTTTGTGGCGTTGAAAGCCGCGGTGTGGACATCATCCCACACGAACTCATTCGTGGTCTTCAATAACGGACGTAGCGGAGCTGCGAGCTCGGATATCCGTGGGGTGAATTCTCCACACTGATTCACCAGACCGAGGAAGGAACGGAGGTCGGTACGATTGGTGGGTAGGTTGAAGTGCTGAAGAGCCGATGTCTTGTCAGCTGGCACGGTGTATCCGTTGGACGACACATGAAACCCACAGAATTCGACTTCAGCAGCGGCGAAGACAAACTTCTTTTGACTGAGAGTAATTCCGTGTTCGCGTGCACGGGTCAGGACGGCACGGACGTGAGCGACATGGTCCGAGAATGACTCATCGTGAACGAGGCCGTCGTCCACCACCTTGATGAGATGGGTCGAACGGTCGAAAGCTGCGTCGGTGCGGCGGTTGTACTCATCGCCGACGGACACAAGACCTTGTGGATTCCGGCAGAATCGGTATCTACCCCACGGCGTGATGAACGTAGTGAGAGACTTGGCAGACTCAGACAGGGGCACCTGCCAATAGCCATGACGGGCGTCAAACTTGGTGAACCATCGGGCTGTGCCGATGCCAGAGAGAGCATCACGTGCGTTCTGCATGGGGTGGGTGGGACGCTTCACTTGTCGGTTGAGAGACTGAAGGTCCACAGTCAGACGTTTCTCACTAGAATTCTTCTTGTCGACTACAACAATGGGGTGGCACCAGTCGCACGGCTCTGACACTGTCTCGATGATGCCTTCCTCAACCATATTGTCGAGCTGGGTTTTCACCTGCTCACGGTAGGCATGTGCGATAGGACGAGCTGTGTAGACTCGGTGAGGTTTCGCATCATCTTCGAGAATGATGTCCATTGGCTTGCCACACATGGGTTTCAATGTCGTGTCGTCGAAGAGGTCTGCGAACTCTCGCAGTAGGTCAGCACGGATCTGCGCCAGCTTGCTAGGGTCAGGTGTGTTCACGAGACCGGTCGTCACAACGGGAGCCGTTGGAGGTGGTGTGCTGCTGGTACTAACACGCGCAACTTGCTTGGGCCAGCCGTCTGGTAAGAGGCCTAAGGCGTATAGCGATTGGCGTGACAACAGGGGTTCACGCAGTCCACGGTACACATGGATGGTGCTATCATGCTTGAGCGAGCCGATGGTGAGAGTGGCAGAGATCTTGCCAGCTGAAACGAGACGTTCACCATTGGCAGCATGCACATTATCATGGTCTGTGGCCAGATTCTCCACAAAACCACCGAGATGCGCTAACTGATCGACGCCAATAGCGTCAATGTCACTTCCCGTATCGGGGATCCATTCTAGGGAGGTAGCGTCAGGTTCAGTGCACAATTGCGTGTCGACTGGCACCGTAGGAGATGCATCACACTGAGCGCGGCGGAGCTGTAGTCGTCCCAGCGTGCGCTGCGAGGACTGGTCAGCCGGTTTGCGGGATTTTCTGCACACCGCTTGGAAATGTCCAATAGTCTTGCAGCCGCTACACTTCTTGCCGTGTGCAGGACACTGCGACTTGCTGGCGTGGGGAGTGCGACCACAATTCGGACATTTCGATGGCGTGGCGGACGGCTGTTGCTGTCGCGGGTTACTGCCGTGTTTAGACCGCTGATAATTTGTTTTCCGAGCGGCATTGACGGAGCTAGTGCCGGGGATACTGCTGCTCGTCCGAGAGGCTGCCTCCTCCGCTCGACACAATTTAATGACCTTCTCCAACGTTAGATCGGTAGTGGCAAGGAGCTTATGGCGTGTCTCCGTGTCAAGAATGCCAGTAACCAGGCGATCACGCATGGTCTCATCGTACCTGGTACGCTGTCCCTGCTGGCATTGGCGGCATACTCTGCTTGAACAGAAATTGCACAGTGCAGCTTCGCTGAAATCGCAGCAATTGTGGATCTCCCTGAGGGAAGTCAGGTACTGATCGAAGGACTCTCCATGCTGCTGTTGGCGGGCATAGAAGGCGATCCGGTCCAGCAGAGGGTTACGCTGGCCGCGAATGTATGCCTGTACAGCCTTGATGAGATCGTCATCGTCGTGGTTGTCAGCCAGAGGAATTGTGCCCTCACGAAGAAATCTCCGGAGGTCCTCGTCCAGGCACTGACGAACCGTTGCCACTCTGGTGGCATTGTCCTGGGAATCCAGGTGCTGGCACCGGGCGTAGTCCCGCCAAAGACCTTCCCATGCGGCAAACTCTGCGAGAGAGGCAGAGGCAAGTAGCAGAGGGCGATCGACCGAAACTGGTCTCGCCGCAGGTACATGTTCTCGTGCCGGTGGGGCTGGGGGTGGACGTTGCGGTGGTGGAGGTTGAGAAATGCTCCTCAAAGTTCGCTCCACGAGCTGTGTCAGGTGGTGCTCGCGGGTGGCGGCGGTCTCCATCTGCTGTCTCATGAGCTGGGTGAGGGCAGCAATGTCAGGGCTGAGTACTGGTGTGTCTGATTCCGCCATGCCGAAACGGAAATTTCAAATAATTATTTCACTATATTTGAGAGACGAAACGCCAGAGGTACTAGCAAGACCCAGGACTGAGAAAGACTAATGGAAACTGCTACTAAAACAAGTTCACTGCGCCATGTGGTATCATCAAGTCTATGTGATGATTATTGAAATAGAATAATGCAACGAAGGACTGAGACAGTGAGAGAGGACGACTCGTCAGGAAACTACCAAGGAAAGACTGAACAGCAACAAGAGACATGCACTGTCGATTATGGGCACGGAGTACACACATGCATGCATAGTATGAGTAGTATGCTGTAAGGTTGTACGCACGTCCATGCAAGGAGATGCAGTAGCATAATAAGAAACATGAGAGTGCAAATATGTACGATGTACACGGGTACACCACAGTCGCCATGGTCGAGTGGTCGCCATATCCGAGTGGTCGCCATTACAGGTTTTACTGTAGAACACTAGCGGCCAAGCTTGCCACACCAAACACCACAACATGTCATGTTAATTTGAACAATTTCAACGTAATACTTCAGTGATAACTTACTATGCTTTTGCACACACAAATTAGGCTTGTAAATAAATTAAATAAATTTCACGGTCCTGTGAGACTTGGCTGGAAGCCGGGTTTTCCGCATCCGCCGTGGACACGCCACCACCCTCTTGGATCCTAGGCGTGTAAAGACGTTGATAAATAGCTTCCAACATTTTTAAACTGACCTGTTTACTTGAAAGGTGACTTGAAATCAGTGTCACCAGAAAACCTTTAGTTGAGACAAGTGAGAGCAAAAGGAAAAAAGGGAGAAAAAAGGGAGCATGCTCTGGCCTGAGAGCTGCAAAACTGCGCATGCTCTGGCCTGAGCGCTGCAAAACCGCACACGCGATGCTGTTACGGTAAATAATACATCTATGAGCGACATCCGGATATCCACAGAATCTGCTGGGAGAGTACGCGTGTACTCGAGTCTCATCCTGAGCACGTTTTTTTCACCTCCAGTATAGCTGTATTTTTCATTGCAAAGCCATTCCCAATTGTTGCGTTCGTTGTTCAAATGCAGTGGATATTCAATCAGGAAGGCAGAGGATATAAGGGCCTGATTGGCGTTTCGTGTGGCAGAGGATGGCCACACAGAGGCACTTTGCGATTTTCTGACTAATGCCGTACGCACGTTGGTTGTCTTTTCCCTCTGTTGTTTATGTACAATACAGACACTGGCAACACACCAGCACCAATAAGCATACCGTCAGAGTCTCCAACATCTAATAGCACCGCTACCAGCAACACTACCGGCAACACCACCGGCGATAATGGCAGTAAGTTTCCCCGGGGCGTGACATGTCAGTGTGTGTGTGGGGGGGGGGGACTAAGACCCGGGGTCTGGGTGTCCCCTAGGGGAAAAAATCAGATTTTACGGCTGACAGCGCAGGATTACTGTAAGAACAGTAATGTTAAAATGAACATTTATTTCTAACGATTTGACGAATTTAGAGAATTCGTTAACATTTGATGTTATGTGCAGAACAATATGTACATGTACAGTCATTTGCCGGAATTCGTTAGCATTTCACCTCGCTAACCCACAAAAATCCGGAGATTGCTAACTTTGAAACTCGGATGTTGAGCCATAAATAAATGTGGAAGAGAAAAAGACATATGGATACGAGTTAAGAGTAACTCTCCATCACTGTAACATGATACTGTATACAGTTCCGTTGGGACTGTAGCTTTTGCTCGTTTTCGTTGCGCTTGCCTTCCCCTTTTTGGTCTTTCCATAACCTTGAACCTTCCAAGTTGGAAGGCTGTCGGTTTGCGCTACGGAGATGTGTTGAAGCTAGGTGTCAGGACGTCGAATGTCTCAGTACTCTGTCAGTTTTGTGCCTAGTTATTGCACTTTCTGACAGTATATAGTATCATGTTACAGTGATGGAGAGTTACTCTAAACTCGTATCCATATGTCCTTTTCTCTTCTACATTGCTAACTTTAATTGACGTTAAAATATCTGGTCTTACAGTGTTGCTTTCTTGGATGAACTGGGCGCACCGTCCTGAACGAAACGTGGTACGACCGTGGTCGAACTGGTCGTACCGTCTGTGACACCCCTATTACCAGCTTTCATATCTCTACTAACTCTGCAAAATGTCAGACATGTTTGAGGGCTGTAGCTTCATGTAGCTGCGTAACAGCCAGTCGAGGGTGTGTGTGTGTGTGTGTGTGTGTGCGTGTATGTGTTTGTGTGTATGTGCGTGTGTGTGTGTGTGTGTGTGTGTGTGTGTGTGTGTGTTTGTGTGTGTGTGTCCCATATGGTGCAGTGGTATGTGCAGTCGATTTCCAATCGAGAGGTTGCCGGTTCAATTCCCGACGATTATGGTCGCACACGTCTTTCTTCTCTTTCTCGGTCTCTTCCTGACTTTTCTTTCATTGTCCTGGGTGGTTACCAACAGCCAGTGTATGCCGGAGTATGTAGTGTGGTGTGTGTGTGTAGAAAAAAAAAGAACAAAAAAGAAGAAAAAAATGGAAAAATGAAAAATAGGGATTCACTGGCCAGAAAAAGTCACTTCAATCAGCTGTGTGGTGGATACCAGGCTAAAAATAGTGGCGGTCAATTCATCAGCCTTGCAAGCTGTTGAATGGTGTAATCCCAGCACAAGTTGCTATGTCTAACATAGCTGTTCGCTATCATCGCTTCCGCGATGGGCAGGTCTGAGGTGAGGTGAGGTGAGGTGAGGTGTGTGTGTGTGTGTGTGGTGTGTATGCTGTGATGCAGCCCCTTTGTTCCCCTCCTCATGAGGGCAGCTTAGCCGTTGAACGGCAGCTGTACGTCAAGGTCAAGGTCAAGGTGTATGTGCGCATATGTGTGTGTGTGTGTGTGTGTGCGTGCGCGCGCGTACATGTGTGTACATGTGTGTGTGCCAGCTAGTTCGGTTGGTGGGTACACTTATGCCAGATAGTGTTGGGTCTGTTGCCAACGGGCTCGGCTGCTTGAAGGTGTATTGTTGTACCTACCACCTTTGTTGGTTTGAGGGTTCATTATACTTTCTATTTGAAGTATACATACCATGGACTGCTTCTGGCAAGATTCACTCTTGTGTAATCAATGGTGCTAGTGAAGCTTATATCAGATCCACTTTGATTTACCCACCCACACTAGTACCAAGTATTACCTTCACTGGGGGCAGGGGTACCTGCAGTTGGATCCCCGGACGGATACCCTGATGCCGTCAATCCTTTTTCTGCACCTTATCCTCACCCACTTACTGAGGTGTGGGGAGCCCATAAGTGGGATCATTTCAAGTCCACCCTAGTTTGGGGATTTCAGGGGGTGTCGGCCGCTGGGTGGTTCAATGGCCAATTGAGTCATCTTTCCAAGATTCCTTTTGAGTCTCTCTCCCCTCTCCCGTCGAGACCCACGTGACCAGTTTTGGCAGTGAGCAAGTACAATTACAAGTGTGTGTGTGTGTGTGCATGTGTGTGTGTGTGTATGTGTGTGTGTGTGTGTGTGTGTGTGTGTGTGTGTGTGTGAAAAAAATGAGGAAAAAATGGAGGAAAGAAAATAAAAAATAGGGATTTACTGGCCAGAAAAAGCCACTTCAACCAGCTGTGTGGTTGACACCAGGCTAGAATTAGTGGCGGTCAATTCATCGGCCTTGCAAGCTGTTGAATGGTGCAATCCCAGCACAAGTTGCTATGTCTAACATAGCTGTTCGCTATAATCGCCTCCGCGATGGGCAGGTCTGAGGTCTGATGTGTGTGTGTGTGTGTGTGTGTGTGTGTGTGTGTGTGTGTGTGTGTGTGTGTGTGTATGTGTGTGTGTCCATGCGCATGTGTGAGTGTATGTGTGTATTTTGTGAGTGTACATGTGTGTTTTTGTGTGATCGTTTTCGTGTTCCAGCATCTGTTTGCATCTCATGTACATACATGTAGGGGGCGTTCGTTTTTGATCTACAGGTTTGGGTAGAAACTAGTTGTGGCAAGTGAAATCCGACACTTGCCATAGGGGACAGCGCCTCAAATGGACATCAATGATGTAATGCACTGCACCTAATTTGTACTATAGAGCCGTATGCATCACAAACAGGTCGAAAGGTCACAGCTTAGATACACACAGTTCACAAACATGGTACACATAAGGAGTATTGGTAATTTGGTATCCAATTCCCATTCATTTTTGCCAGCACCTTTTGAACCTTGACTGTGATGAGTACGAATTCTGTCATCAGACAGATAAAGTTGTATGCAGTACATGTACTGTACGTATGCAGGGCTGCAGAGGCTGCAGGATGCACGGTGCAGTCCCTTATGCCAAGTGTCGGATTTCACTTGCCACAACTGCACTTCTTTCGGTAGAGGTGTTCGTTTTTTGAAAAAAAATTCTACTCAAAAGGGTAGATTCTACTTTCCTCTACCGGCTCTACCGGGAAAAAGTTGGTAGAATCCGGTAGAAGTTGGTAGAGCTACGGGATTTCCAGCAAGATCAAGGATTTGTACACAACTCCATAAAAAAAAGAAACATTTCACGTACGCATCGTGTAAACTACTAGATCTGGTAGAACAGCGTTCGTACACTTGCCTCTACCATCTACCTCTATCGGTAGAGTGATTTTACTCTACTCTACCAAGTAGCTAAAAACGAACGCAGCCGTATTCATGGGCTTGCTCACCCTCGTCAAGTCGTAACATATCGACTCACCAGTACGCTACCTATGCCAAGTCCTAAAATATCTACTCACTAGTACTAGTATGCACTGCACTGCACTACTATAGATTGGACGAATGACCCAACCAGTGCGTTTCTCTGTTGCTTCTGCTGCAGGCGGCCAGCTGGCTCTTGCCGCCACACACAGCCTCGCCTGGCTTCCACCATTGATCCTGGCGGCCATCTTCTTGATGTAAAGACCCGCAGCTGGTGGCTGCTGCATCCGGCCATCGCCACAGGGTTCGCGGTTGTCATGGTGATTGTGGTCACGTGACGGCAAGTTGCTGTGACACACAGTTGGCGTGACAACCGCAGCATCTGATGCCATGAAAGGCACGCGCCACTAGGTGACTTCTAGCATTGCAACTGACTATACATTTGTATGATGTACACCAGATTTGACAGTTTTAACACTTATGCCAGTACATGTATTGAACTTCTCTATCTCCAGGCAGCTAAGTGGCCAGCCGTAAATACTACTACCGTAAATCCCGCCAGAGCGCCCCTACCTCCTCGACGCTTCAGGTGGGGAGGGGCGCATGGGCGAGTCCTACTTGCCGCATTCAGTGCTCCATGAAAAAGTACTCACCCTACGAAAACTGTTCGTGCATCTCGTACACCGACCAAAGGTCAAGAGCCAGGAGTCGGACAGACCCGACAAAACGCAGGATTTGTGCGATCCCTGGTCAGGAGGGTGGACACTGTTGCGTACATTTCCAACGGGGTCGAGCACGCGTCTGCAGTGCAGTACGGCATCACAGACTGCGACAGAGTCATACGAGGATACAATCAATCACGTCCCTGACAAGAAGTCAGGGAGGGGCGGATGGGAGAGACGGGGCGCTCTGGCGGGATTTTACGGTATTTACTGAGAGACGTCTAACGGGCGTTTCTGTGGGTGGGTTCCGGCGCCTGCAAGGCGTTTCTAAAAAAAATACATTTCGGAGTGCATGCATACGACACCGTACGTGTGCACATACATAATGTATATGATGACTGATGTAGCACTGCTGCAGCTATATATTACTAGTACAGGTAGGCGTTGAGACGCACTACACTGCACTGCATGCGTCACGGCAGAGTAGACAGGGAGACAGGGGCCAGGGACGTAACTGTTCGCTATGAAGGGTTGTATGGGCTCAAACAGGGACATGGGAACGGTTCGCTATAATCATCACGAAATTCCCTATATGCGAGTTCGTTATAAGTGGAGTTGACTGCACTGTACATCTGTGCATAGTATGATGTTTATTATGAGTGGTATTATCTGCATTTTTCGGGGGGGGGGGCGTTTCTGGGGGTGGGTGGGTCAAGAAAGAAACGTCTGTTAGACGTCTCTAAGTAAATACATGTATTTACAGATGGCCTCTAACTGTCTTGCTTTGAATATCTATTTTTCTTGCGCACAGCAATGAAGTGTATCAGTGTTATCAAGAGTAGATAAACAAGAGTGTGCAACTCCGGATCTCTCCTGCACAATCTGAGGATGCCGGGATTTTTGTTGGCGTCACCTTTTTTTTTCAGAAAACCCGCATTTTGCCGCAGAGCAGTGTGAGAGCACGTGCTGGGCACCGACCTTGTAATGTAAGGCCGTCATCACACTACGTTTTCCGACTCCCGTTCACGTCTACGTCTACGTTCAAAATCCAAAACGGGTGGTCGTGTCATCACACAGGCGCATTTCTCGCCGCGTATACTTGGTCACGTTTTGCGGAAGAGTGCAAAAGTAGTAGCAAGAGCCCATGTATGGAGTCTCCTTGTTGCAACAAAACAAGTGCAAATGAGGATATTTTGGAAAATACCTCCAGCTCTTTTCTTTGAGTTAGTGCAAAAGTAGTAGCAAGAGCCCATATAGGGAGTCTCCTTGTTGCAAGAAAACAAGTGCAAATAAGGATATTTTTCTTGTAGAAAATACCTCCAGGTCTTTTCTTTGAGTTTGAGCATCGCCCAGCACAAGTGTTCTGATTTATTACCTTGTGTTTTGATGCAGTATGCCACTTCTTTGAATTCAGAATGGGTGTTGACAGGAGGAAGTGGATGTTGGCAAAGTTGAAATTCAAAATTCGTACCCCTGCATTCAGGGCAAGCTCCCTCGCTGAAGACTTTTGGCCAAGAGAAAGTGAATCTGTGGCCTGGGAAATTCCTAATTTAATTTCAGTTCGCCGCCGCCGTCGCCGTTCTCGTGCCAGAAACCTTCTTTGGGAGCTCCTGCATCCCAAAATAGTGGACAACGTAACTGCCAACCGACGATTCTGGTCCACCAATGTCGGATGCCCAGGATTCTTTGAGAAAAGGGTGAAGGGACGATGGCTGGAAGTCATGCAAGCGTTGCAGAAGGCAGGGAAGCAGGATGACGCAGAGGACTACTTGGATAGGCAGTATGTTAAAACATTCCGTGTCAGCAAACCTCTGTTTGATGCAATTTACACCGACACACATGCTCTCTGGGAGAAGTCGGATACTGCATTCCGTTGCGCCGTGAGCTCGGAGAAGAGGCTTGCCATGTTATTGTATTGGCTGGCTCACGCTACCACGCAGGACGAGCTTGCGAATCTCTTTGGCGTGGGACAGTCGACTGTGCATGGGATTCTGCACGACGGTGTAGACACGTTGGCTGTCCACCTTGGCAAGAAGTCAATTGTTTTTCCGAAAGGAGAAGATCTGAAGCGGGTCATTAGCGGCTTCAAGCGCATCTGCAAGCTACCAATGTGCGCTGGCGCCATTGACGGCACGTTTATGAAAATAATAAAGCCATCAGTATGGGGGGACTCATACTGGTGCTACAAGTCGTATCCCGCAATTATTATTCTTGCTGTCGTGGATGCCGATGGCATATTCACGTATGTGGATGTTGGCCGAGCAGGCTCGCTCGGCGATGCGTATACCTTCAATAACAGCAGTTTGAAAAGGAAGTTACAGACTCGATCGTGGTTGCAATCCACAACGAAACTGATTTCTGGCCACCGTATCAAGCCCTATTTACTGGCAGACTCTGCATTTGGAGCTTCGGAACACGTTGTCAAGGCGTATAAGCACCCACCCCAGCCTGGACAGCAAGCCACCTTCAACTCTGCTGTCAACAAAGGTCGCAAGGTGGTCGAGCAAGCATTTGGTAGACTTAAGGGTCGTTTTGCTGTCCTAACAAGAAGCTTTGTGAGGGACCCAGAGTTTGCTGCCCGCGTAGCTTTGCTGTGCAGTGCTTTGCACAATATGTGCACTCGTGGCAATGTTGAGTTCTTCGATTCTTGGTTGCCAGATCGTGCTGAGTACACGGGAGATGGTGAACAGGCAGCGGACGCCAACAATGGAGCAGGAGGAAGTGCTGAAGTTGTTCGGAAGGCGCTGACAACGTACATCCATATGCTGCGCTAGGTGTTAGATCGGCAACTCTAAATATTCAAGACCTCTTCTGCTTTCTGCTTTCCCTTTTTTCTTCTTCTTTTTTACCAGGCGTGGGCCATCCCCTGGACTATCAAAATGGGTGCCTTATTATTTTTATTTTTCTGTTTATTCTTTTTACCAGGCGTGGGCCATCCCCTGGACTATCAAAATGGGTGCCTTATTATTTTTCTTCTTCTGTTTATTCTTTTTACCAGGCGTGGGCCATCCCCTGGACTATCAAAATGGGTGCCTTATTATTTTTCTTTTTTTCTTTTTCTGTTTATTCTTTTTACCAGGCGTGGGCCATCCCCTGGACTATCAAAATGGGTGCCTTATTATTTTCTTCTTCTGTTTATTCTTTTTACCAGGCGTGGGCCATCCCCTGGACTATCAAAATGGGTGCCTTATTATTTTCTGTTTTTTACCTTGTTTTTTACACTTCTTTGTGCGAGTTTCGTATCAGAAAAAAATCCTGCAACAAAAGTAAGAACTTAGTAGCTTTCACAGTAAATAGTCCTCGCCGTTACATCTTATGTTGCACAGACCAACCATTGAATACAATTTAGCACTGACCTAGTTTGCATCTTTTATATCAATGGTATTTTTTCCTAGTTGTCATCTACACACCCTCACCATTTCTGGCATAAGAACGGACATTCATACTTCATGATGGTGGGAAGTATTGATTTTCTTGCTTTGTGACAGTCGAGAACGTAAATTTCCTCATCTTGCCTACATTCACGGAAATAAATATTGCACAATTAATATGCGTTTGAAGAATACCAAAACAGCAGACTGCATTTTAGGGAAACGGAACAAAGAAACAAACAATGAAATATGAAATATAATACAAAAGCACAATGGACTTAGAGGTCAGGCCGGATCCTTAGAATTAAAAAACAAACAAAACAAAAACTAGTTGTTTTGATCACTGTGAAACAAATTGTATTGAAATTCCATTTCCTGGCGTCGTAAGCGAGATTCTCTCTCCATCCTCTCGGTCTCCCTCTCGTTCCTTTCTCGCTCCATTCTTAGCTCATGGCGTTCACGCCGTCGCTCCCTCTCCTCTTCCCAGTCTTGCCTTCGTTGTTCAAGATCATGTTGCCACTGGCGCTGCTCACGAACCCGCCGCTCTTCAAACTCCAGTTCTCGCAGCCTGGTGTTCTGCTCGATTTCTGTCAGTCGAACTTGTACATCTGTTACAGATGACACATAATCCGTCTGAGCCCTCCTTCTCCTGGCTCCTCTGCCCACGTCCCCTTCCTTCTGGGCCAGCGCTTCCACCTGTGGAACCACAACAGGAGTTGGTGCACGACTGGTATCAGTTATCGGGTTTGGCGCCGGGTGCCGCAACGCTTCAGGTACAGGTAAGTCTAGTTGAGTCAAGTCAGCTTGGCCAAAGTCGGCTTGCGTCTCACTAACTTCTGGATATGCTTCATCTAAATATGAGGCATATTCATCGTCCACTTCAGCGGTATCGGTTGACCTGCTGGTGGTCGCGCGTGGTGCTGTCAGCAAAGGTGCAGAGTCGTCTAGGTGGTCCGACATGGACCGACCTAGGCGCGCAGACCTTGATGACTGTGCACTGCCTGGTACTGGCGAGGAAACACCTGCTGACGATGTGCTGCTTGCCACTGATGACCGGGCCACCCTTGACGCACTTGGCCCGGGCAAGGTTCGCGGAGGCATAGATGTACTTGACGCGGTCAAGGTTTGGGGAGGCATAGATGCACTTGGTGCGGGCAATGTTCGCGGAGGCATTGATGGACTTGACGCGGTCAAGGGTCGGGGAGGCATAGATGCACCTGATGCCGCCGTGTACTGCGTCTGGGTGCCGAGAACAATGGTATCATCATCGGAGGATACAGTGTCCAAGGACATCCCTCCAGCTCCTAGGTTGGGGTTTGTAAGGAATAGCTGGTTCCAAACCGCAAAATTGGCCCACTTTCCCACGGCAGCCTGGATACAAGCATGAAAAAGAAGAAGTAGAAAAGAGAAATATGTTACCCAATGCATTATAATACATTTACACAGAATGCGTGCCCCAAATGAAAGCATTCTATCACCCCTTGCAGAGAATGCATCACCCAAATGGCTACCCATGCCCATTTCAGGTTCTGG